TTTTGATGAAAAATCACAGCGGCAATGATGTTTTCTGTCATTAGCAGATAGTTACAGGTGGATAACCCTTGTCAATAAAAACAATAATTTGTCAACCTGTGACTTACTTTGAATTTCCTTTCACTAATTTGCGGATATGCGTTTAGTTCAGCTGAAAGGACTCACGCCAACAAAGGGCGAGGATAGTGGTTCCAGGAAGATAGTGGACGACAATCGATGTTCGGGTTCCAGACTCAGAGGAACAAGTATTGGGCATAATCGAATCAGGGCCTTCCAGGGGCACTCAGAGCACAATAACGGACACTTTCCCAAGCACCAAATAAATACCGAGGAAGGGCTACATTCCTACCACGTTTGTACGATACACACAGCACAAAGAGATACAAATGGAGCAGGAGTTAATGAACTGAATGCGAGAAGCTGATTGATAAGAGTGGATAATAAGGAGATTACACACGCACTAGTTTGTTTGGAGTTAACCATTCAAATGTTTGGTGTTAGATGGATTATTTGCAAACACCAGTCCCCGCAGAATTCGAGGTTATGACAACGGGTTGACATTTTGAAAGTTGATGTATGTTTTTGTAATTTGTAAACAAATTAATAATTCGAAGTTATGAGGTTCGAAATAGGTTCTGTCATTCAAGGAATCTTGAATTTACCGTTTATCCTTGTCTATCTTATTGTCACTCTGTATAATTCCATGGTTACCGGAGTTTTAAATAATTACGAAGCCACAGGTATTTGAGCAATGTTAATTAGGCACATTACCTTGAAAGACATTGCTGCCGTATTTCTGATATAGTTTTTCGCAAATTTCTCAGTTTTTAATAACAATTCATTTCTTTTACTATTTTTTCTGTACTCCTATAACAGCGCCAGACAACACCTCCAGAGGAATGACGCCAATTTTGAATCACCCTGCATATGCCCAAAATACTCCATTTTTGGTTTTTTTTTCTGTGTCAAAATGTCTCTCCGTTGATCCAGTACGCCACGAACTTCTTCGTTGGTAATATGTTCAGACCAAGATATGCGTAAATTCGGCAATGAACCCACATTTCAAATATCTCCAGTTTCTTGATAAATCTATGCAGACGATACCGTACTAATTGCAAACTGTACAAGATTTGCAAAACATATTTGGTTTGGATTCTTTCCATCAGATGCTGTAGTTCATTGATTTCCTTGTCAAGTAGATTGTCGCGCTCACAAAAGGCTACC